CGATAACCTGTATTTACGCGATAGGCCTACAGGTGCACATGGCAACAACTGATCCTAAATTGGCAGAGCAGAGGACATTGGTTGCAAATGAAAAACATCTCATATAGTATATGTGGGTCATATACAAACCTTTTAATACAACATAATTGGTTTACAGATTGATTCAATAGCTTGAAAGGTCAGCTGTTTAAACAAATATGTTAGCGTCTGCGAATCATGGCAACTCAGCTGGGATCATCTGGGGTTATTTGTCTTATATGTGCTTGTTTGTGTGCGCGTGTTCATGTGGGATAGAATCTAGATAGATGACGCAGCCAGGCTAGCTCTAGGCTCTCTAGTCCAGCTGTGCCCAGCGCATGGTCAGGTGACATCACACAACACACGATCTCAGGTGACTGGGGGCTTGACTGACTTATTTGCCTGCTAGATGGTGATGGGGAGTGAGAGATATGAGTGATCAAAAACACAGTTTTTCATTTGATCCTGTCCCATCCATTCAATATGTTATTCACATAGAGGTACTTTTGAATGAGATACTCTACAGTGTAAATGCTGGACACTGCATGTTGTAGGCCTACCATACTGTATGCTTTTATTGCTGCCTTGGAAATAATTTCCGTCACCTATCAAGTTTCCCCTTGAAAAGTGTGAATCATGTTCTATTTGATCTAATCTATAGATGGGCAACTTTGATGGGGTGCGGGGCTGGGGGCCACCAAAACATCTGAATTCATCATGAGGGGCCACAGCAAAACATTTTAGTGACTCCCCCTCTTGACAGCAGAGATAAACAAATATTTCGTACAGCATGATGCTGCCACCCCCGTGCTTCACGGTTGGGATGGTGTTCTTCGGCTTGCAAGTTCCACCTTTTTCCTCCAAACATAACGATGGTCATTATGGGAAAACAGTTATATTTTTGTTTCATCAGACCAGAGGACATTTCTCCAAAAAGTACGATCTTTGTCCCCATGTGCAGTTGCAAACCGTAGTCTGGCTTTGTTATGGCGGTTTTGGAGCAGTGGCTTCTTCCTTGCTGAGGGACCTTTCAGGTTATGTCGATATAGGACTCGTTTTACAGTGGCTATAGATACTTTTGTCATTTGCTGTTGTTCTGGGATTGATTTGCAGTACGTTCATCTCTAGGAGACAGAACAAGTCTCCTTCCTGAGCGGTATGACAGCTGCGTGGTCCCATGGTGTTTGGAAATTGCTCCCAAGGATGAACCAGACTTGTGGAGGTCTACAATTTCTTTTCTGAGGTCTTGGCTGATTTCTTTTGTTTTCCCATGATGTCAAGCAAAGAGGCACTGAGTTTGAAGGTAGGCCTTGAAATACATCCACAGGTACACCTCCAATTCACTCAAATGATGTCAATTAGCCTATCAGAAGCTTCTAAAGCCTTGACATCATTTTCTGGAATTTTCCAAGCTGTTTAAAGGCACAGTCAACTTAGTGTATGTAAACTTCTGACCCACTGGAATTGTGATACAGTGAATTATAAGTGAAATAATCTGTCTGTAAACAATTGTTGGAAAGATTACTTGTGTAATGCACAAAGTAGATGTCCTAACCAATTATAGTTTGTTAACAAGAAATGTGTGGAGTGGTTGAAAAACGAGTTATTTTGCTGTATCTGCAGTACATCTCTTCAAGAGCACAGTGAGAGTACAGGTAGGGTAGAGCAGTCACTGGTCAGGGTCATGGTGTAGAGGGGTCATCTCCACCAGTCACACAACAGGAGAGGAACAATAGAAACCAACACAATGGACAAGAGATTGTATACCCTGGAGCCACCAGAGGTCAAACGCTACTTGGTCAAAGGAAGCAGGTTTACCAAATGGTCAGAGGTGAGTTGGCTATTCTTAAAAGTGCAGCAAATTCCTGGAGAAAATCTTCAGTTGAAAACAAGTTAATTAGTTCACTTTGGATGAGAATCAAGCTCTAGAATAGGGGTCCGTCAGGCTGTGGGATGACTCAGCGACCCCAACCTCTGTAACCATAATGTACTGTATGTTAACAGATGTGAATTGGATCTAGCTGTGAGATGGTTCAGAGTGCTGCGTTGCACGTTACAGTCCCAGCAGCCTTGTGAATTATATTGATCGCAGCTGATGTGGGCTTTACCTGCCTGCTGTTGCGCTGCACAATGTTCACTGTGCTGACAGCTGCTTCTCTCTCTACCGTAGCGTTCCCTCTTTTGCTCATTCGCTTTCTACCTCTCTCTGTCTCACTCCTCTCTCAGCAGCTTTTGGTCTGCAGTACATCAGCCTGTTAACCAAGTGTTCCATACAGAGTATTCACGCAAGTAGTAGAAAGCATATTACAATTTAAAATGGGCGCTGCAGATGCATATCTGTTGATGCAATCAAAAATAATAATTGTTCCATCATAGTCAGAAAGATGATTAACAACATAATTTGTATTCTCAGTATGATTGGCTTGTGATTTTATAATTCCCCATTCCTAGGAGACAGAGTTCCTGGATGTTGAGAACAGATCAGGAAAATATGCAAAACCTCCTAAAGTGAGTACCGTTGTCTAAGGGGTTTATAGCTTTCACTGCTGAGTGATCCACTCAATAAAGCCAGTCTTTATCTGCTTGCCTGTCAAAACCTGTGTGTTGTGTAACTGATGGGGAATTTGTATTGCAAAAGCAGCAATAAACACAATGCCAGTGCACACACACCGAGCCACACACAGTGTTGGTGATGTGATTGCAGCTAAAGCGAGAGAGCCCAGTTTTGTGATTTCTGTGCAGCAGATCAAGCTGTAGAGAGATGATTGAGTTTGACAGTTTGAATCTCTCCCACTGCTTGCACCCACCCTGAGCTGTTTCCATAGAGAGTTTCAGTGTGCAGCCATTACACCCTACTACTAAGGGAGGTCACAGGTCACAGCTATTCCCTGTGGAATAAACAACATAATCCCTATACAGTGAGGGAAAAAAGTATTTGATCCCCTGCTGATTTTGTACGTTTGCCCACTGACAAAGACATGATCAGTCTATAATTTTAATGGTAGGTTTATTTGAACAGTGAGAGAGAGAATAACAACAACAAAATGCAGAAAAACGCATGTCAAAAATGTTATAAATTGATTTGCATTTTAACAAGGGAAATAAGTATTTAACCCCCTCTCAATCAGAAAGATTTCTGGCTCCCAGGTGTCTTTTATACAGGTAACGAGCTGAGATTAGGAGCACACTCTTAAAGGGAGTGCTCCTAATCTCAGCTTGTTACCTGTATAAAAGACATATGTCCAAAGAAGCAATCAATCAATCAGATTCCAAACTCTCCACCATGGCCAAGACCAAAGAGCTCTCCAAGGATGTCAGAGACAAGATTGTAGACCTACACAAGGCTGGAATGGGCTACAAGACCATCGCCAAGCAGCTTGGTGAGAAGGTGACAACAGTTGGTGTGATTATTCGCAAATGGAAGAAAAACAAAAAAACTGTCAATCTCCCTCGGCCTGGGGCTCCATGCAAGATCTCACCTCGTGGAGTTGCAATGATCATGAGAAGGGTGAGGAATCAGCCCAGAACTACACGGGAGGATCTTGTCAATGATCTCAAGGCAGCTGGGACCACAGTCACCAAGAAAACAATTGGTAACACACTACGCCGTGAAGGACTGAAATCCTGCAGCGCCCGCAAAGTCCCCCTGCTCAAGAAAGCACATATACATGCCCGTCTGAAGTTTGCCAATGAACATCTGAATGATTCAGAGGAGAACTGGGTGAAAGTGTTGTGGTCAGATGAGACCAAAATCGAGCTCTTTGGCATCAACTCAACTCACCGTGTTTGGAGGAGGAGGAATGCTGCCTATGACCCCAAGAACACCATCCCCACCGTCAAACATGGAGGTGGAAACATTATGCTTTGGTGTTTTTCTGCTAAGGGGACAGGACAACTTCACTGCATCAAAGGGACGATGGACGGGGCCATGTACCGTCAAATCTTGGGTGAGAACCTCCTTCCCTCAGCCAGGGCATTGAAAATGGGTCGTGAATGGGTATTCCAGCATGACAATGACCCAAAACACACGGCCAAGGCAACAAAGGAGTGGCTCAAGAAGAAGCACATTAAGGTCCTGGAGTGGCCTAGCCAGTCTCCAGACCTTAATCCCATAGAAAATCTGTGAAGGGAGCTGAAGTTTTGAGTTGCCAAACGTCAGCCTCGAAACCTTAATGACTTCGAGAAGATCTGCAAAGAGGAGTGGGACAAAATCCCTCCTGAGATGTGCGCAAACCTGGTGGCCAACTACAAGAAACGTCTGACCTCTGTGATTGCCAACAAGGGTTTTGCCACCAAGTACTAAGTAATGTTTTGCAGAGGGGTCAAATACTTATTTCCCTCATTAAAATGCAAATACATTCATAACATTTTTGACATGCGTTTTTCTGGATTTTTGTTGTTGTTATTCTGTCCCTCACTGTTCAAATAAACCTAACATTAAAATTATAGACTGATCATGTCTTTGTCAGTGGGCAAACGTACAAAATCAGCAGGGGATCAAATACTTTTTTCCCTCATTGTAGCTGGTGTGCCATCGGATGACACTCTATCCTCTGTTCTGCTTTCAAGGAGATCAGTTGCTCCTCTATAAGCCACGGATACTGTATCAAAACAAATGTTTGATCTGTTTGCACTGTAGTAGTTGAGGATATAGTAGATCCCCAGTCCCTCTGCTGAGCTGCTGCTCTCATTTTTCTCTGCTCTGGTCAGGCTTGAGCTTCCAGGTGTCCTGTGTATGGAAAAACAGACACCAGGGTGCAGCAGGCCTCATATCCCCCTCTCCAAACATACATGGAGACACCCTGTTGGACTGGAAGTAGAGGATGACAGGGAATACAAGAGAAAGTGTCAATTTTTATTTATTTTTTACTGTGAAAGAAAGAGATCATAAAAACATAAAATAAATGCTTTGCCTACACAATAACCATCATTGTGATAACATAGGAACATAGGAATTACTTTTGGTCACTGGAGGTTTACAAATGTCTGTCCGTTCTCATCAACTGCACCCTAAAGTCAGGAATGTGTTCAACCTGGATGTTCCAAACAGCGACCATCTACTCAAAACCCTGACTGTTGTCACAGGCCCTGACAATCTGACTTACCATAGCTTCTTTGCTTACAAGGGGAATGTGATACAGGTAATACCCATTATAATGCTTGCATCATTACATCTTCTCATCACAGCAACATGACATAACCAGAGCTCATACTGCACATACTGTATGTGTCATAAACATACATCGATAGGTATGTAAACGTCTAGAGCAATTTTGCCTATCGGCATCACCTAACCACCAACATTTGTTTAAGCTATATTAGTTGCCAGATTCCAAACTTGCTCTGAAGCTCTAACCTTGCCTCAGGTCAACCATATATGAGCCTTCATTTCCACCACAAAGCAGCCTCTGTCCTTGCACTCTTTATGAGTTTACGACTACAATATCCGGTTTAGTGAACCCTAATAAAAATAACAATTTGTTCTCTTCCTGAGGCACTGTGACTGATCATTTCCATGCCCTCTAGTGGTCAAAAACGAAACAGTTATTATCACAAGTAGTAAATTCAGACAGCAATTTCATGCAGTTGTGGTCTGATGTTATAGAACTGGGTTACTGATATCCTGTCCATTGCTTACAACCCATCGATGAACAACGCATGCAGACAAGTCTTCATGGAGAAAATGTGAGTGGACAAGGACCGGTCTTTATGTTGAATGTAAATTAGATGTAAAAAAAATGATGAACCTCTCCATCCTAGGTATGTCCACATCTCCCTTCAGATCAATAAGGATGTCAAGATCCCTGTCAAAAAGTGAGTCACAGACAATGTCCTGTATAATTGGTTGAACAGCTCCCACATTAGTTTAACATATCCAAACAATTTAAACTAGATTCATGTGTTGTCTTTATTTTCATTTTCAGTATTTAAGCGGGTGGAGGGTGCCCTGGCTTCAGCACACCTCCCCAAAGGAAAGGTCAGAGAGAAAGCCCTGTGATTTTAAACACTCACAATTCTGGGGTTTGCATCCATATAGGGCAGCAGGTAGCCTAAAGGTTGAGAGCATTGGGCCAGTAACCGAAATGTTGCTGGTTCAAATCCCTGAGCCGACTAGGTGAAAAATCTGTCTATGTGCTCTTGAACAAGGCACTTAACCCTAATTACTCCTGTAAGTTGCTCTGGATAAGAGCGTCTGCTAAATGACAAAAATGTATAGTCCTAGTACTTATAGTCCTTTCTGAGGTGTATAATGAATTATTTCCAGTGGAGTGTAATAATGTGAGACTGTAATAATGTGAGAGGCAACTTGTGTGTTCTCTCAGGGTGACACTATGAAGCCAGACATCTTCCCTGAAGCTGCTTTCAAGCTCTTCCTGATGAGTCTTTGCTCCCGGCCTGAGATATATGAGATATTCACATCCTAGTAAGTGAAATTCGAAATGGAAACAGCAGTGTGATTCTTACCAATTGGAGAGTACAGGCATGAGGCGATGTAGGTAACAACACATCCGCCACGCTGATCCTCAACACGGGGGCCCCTCAGGGGTGCGTGCTCAGTCCCCTCCTGTACTCCCTGTTCACTCATGACTGCATGGCCAGGCACGACTCCAACAACATCATTAAGTTTGCCGATGACACAACAGTGGAAGGCCTGATCACCAACAACGATGAGACAGCCTATAGGGAGGAGGTCAGAGACCTGGCCGTGTGGTGCCAGGACAACAACCTCTCCCTCAACGTGATCAAGACAAATTAGATGATTGTGGACTACAGGAAAAAGAAGAGGACCGAGCACGCCCCCATTCTCATCGACAGGGCTGTAGTGGAGCAGGTTGAGAGCTTCAAGTTCCTTGGTGTCCACATCACCAACAAACTAACATGGTCCAAACACACCAAGACAGTCGTGAAGAGGGCACGACAAAACCTACTCCCCTTAAGGAGACTGAAAAGATTTGGCATGGGTCCTCAGATCCTCAAAAGGTTCTACAGCTGCACCATCGAGAGCATCCTGACTGGTTGCATCACTGCCTGGTATGGAAACTGTTCGGCCTCCGACCGCAAGGCACTACAGAGGGTAGTGCGTACGGCCCAGTACATCACTGGGGCCAAGCTTCCTGCCATCCAGGACCTCTATGCCAGGCGGTGTCAGAGGAAGGCCCTCAAAATTGTCAAAGACTCCAGCCTCCCTAGTCATAGACTGTTCTCTCTACTACTGCACAGCAAGCGGTACTGTAGCGCCAAGTCTAGGTCCAAGAGGTTTCTAAACAGCTTCTACCCCCAAGCCATAAGACTCCTGAACATCTAATCAAATGGCTACCCAGACTATTTGCATTGCCCCCTAATTCGGCGCATGTGACAAAAAACATTTGATTTATTCTACAGGTCAGCTGTTCTATCTGATGGGGCCTGAGACATCTGTGGTCATACTGGAAAAGCTGGCCAACATGAGCCAACCGCTGCTACATTGCCTAATCAAGTCCGACACATGCCTGACAGGTCAGACAAGAACCGTCATTAGACCTGGTATCACACATTTGAACATGGCTATGGTAAACAAGGTTTATGAAAGTCTACTCAGAGCTATAAAAATGGAAAGACCTACTTGAGAAACCTATTTTTATTGTCAGTAAATGTGAGCACAGAGCTAGTAGTAGAAGCATAATTTACAATCCTTTTTTGGTTATTTCATTAATTCAAATAACTGGAAATCGTGCTGACTGTTGCTTACACCTTTGAGTGTCTCTAGAGTGTATGGGACATATTTCCCGGTGATCCCTCCACAGTGGCGTGCCGTCTCCGGAGATGTACCGCCAGTGTCTGCTGGCCGGCTGCCGTTGCCTGGAGCTGGACTGCTGGAAGGGAAAACCACCGGATGAAGAACCCATCACCCACGGATTCACCATGACAACCAAGATCCTGTTCAAGGTCAGGTGTCAGTCAGCCCTCATATCTCTGTGCCAGGCAGTGCAGTGGTGCTGAAGTAAACCAATTATTCACCCATTTTCAACGGAATATGCAACCTATGTTGGGGTATTCTAGCCCTAGTCCTAACACTTACCCTAATGCTATATTGGACCTCAATGCTAGAGAATAGTCCTATTGATCCAATATGGTGTGTGCCAAACAAAGACAAAGCATCTAGCTAATGTAGACCATTGACCCATTGTCGACCCCTCTTGTAGTCCCCATAAACACATCCCTCATTCATTAAGACTCATAGACATTTACGTCATTTAGCAGACGCTCTTATCCAGAGCGACTTACAAATTGGTGCATTCACCTTATAGCCAGTGGGATAACCACTTTACAATATGTTTTAGAGTGTTACAACAGTAGTCCAGACCCCAGCGCCTACAGAAACAGTGTACCAGGAAGTGGCCCCTGCTTTACATCTCACAGTGACAGCTTCCTTTGTGGCTCTGCCAGCAGGTGTCCATTGAGACACAATGCAGTGTCATATTGGGCCTGGGCACTGGAGCATGCGTGCAGCACAGCAGCCTCTCCACGCCACACCACACCACACATCCCCTGGCCCCCTCACTCAACACTGCCATTTAAGGGTACCCAGAGCTCCGCTATAACTGGCACACAGACCAAACTGTCCCTGTTTGCAATGAGAGAAGGTCACAAGTGTTTCCTTAAAAGCTGTCTGGGTTTTAAAATATTATATTGTACTGAAAGTGAATAGCTTAATCAATTGATAGTGACAGAATTGGATTACTTCCCAAGCAAAGTCAATGTTTTGTCTCCTAGGCTATAGGTTGTAGCTCATTCTCTGAATGTCAAAGAAACGAAACAATGATATCCTCAAATGCATTGGAGTCTTTTTCCCGGGTATTTTACAGCTTGTTTCTAGCATAAAGCATTGCTGACCAAAGCGTTGTTATAGATCACTTTATATCATCGGATTCGTTCTATTTTCCTCAATCTTAAGCTAACAAGGGGTAGGCCTGTGCTTTTTGCCATTTTCTTTAATAAAAGGTAGGCCTATGGCATACCATCTCATACCCCCTCAATTTGAGTCTTGGTTTTAACTGAACAGCCCTTCACTGACAAAGAGGTAGGCTATTTAAAGAGTGCATGGTGGGTGGCGGAATTGACTGACAAATCTATGGATATAGCAGCATATAGCCTAATTTTGTCTGTCAAACAGGTAGGCCTACCTCTTATTTCTTAAATAGGAAGAAATAGGCTCCAATGCAAAGCCTTCTTGTTGTTAGTAAAGTCTAATTAAAATGAAGACTTTGAAATGAATTATGCCTGCTCGGATTTGCCTACTTTCAGCACCATGAGCTGTCCATTTCCAATTGATTGTGCCACGGCTGCTGCTTCAAGTTTCAGCACCACAATGTAACTTACTAGAATCTGGCTTATTGTGAGGTCAATGACTCTGATCAATAGGCCTACATCATGGGCAAGAAACATATTGTTTTTAATCAAATCAATTATAGTAGTAGCAAGCTATCAAAGTTGACCTCTGGTCCTCCTTCTCATCTTCACACCCTCCTTCTCAAACTGAACAGAACACAGACTATAGGCTAGTCCTTGCGCAAGATAGGGAATTTTTGGGACTAGGCCTAATCAAAAATTATTTCCGGAACAAGTCTTTGACTCTCTTCCTGAACTGCCAACGTAGGCCTACACAGCACAGCCATTGGTTAGGCAGCACACACAAACGTTTTTGATCAGCAAGAGCAGAGCAGGGCTCAGGGTTACAATATACATTGCAGGGTGTAATGAGCCTAGTTTTATTTACACCATCCCAGCAGCTATCTTAGAAAATGTACTTTGCTCTGTGCTTTTCCGAGCATGCACTTTGTAGCCTATAGGCTATAGGCTATGGATCATTTGACTGAGACCACACTAAATAGCCTATAGGCTCACTTGATATTGCGTGCCCAACAGAGAATCAGAGATGAGGGGCGACATCGGGCACACATCAATATATAACATAATAAGCAACTAATTCTAAAACACTGAGAAATACTGAAATGTAATCAATTACAAATTACATGACCTTCTCCTGGACTAGATTGAAAAAAACACTAAACTCTCCCCTTGACTGAAATTGAAAAAGAATGATCCTCCACCATTTTCTTCCAGGTACCCATTATGTAAATGTCGATCCATCCCTTAGTTAGGTCTGAGAGTTGTGTTGATACTGCCAGTCATCCTGTTTGTCTACTTAGTATGTCCCAGAGTCCAGTAGATGATTGGTCTGTCTGTTTTTCTGTGTGACAGGATGTGATTGAGGCCATCCCAGAGAGCGCTTTCAAAACCTCCCAGTACCCAGTCATCCTCTCCTTTGAGAACCACATAGACTCGTAAAACACTACATTTCACTCCTCTTTTCAGATTAAAACATGGTTTGACTTTAACCAAAAGCAGGGCCACTACTATCACAAATACTTATTTGTATGCTCTTCATAATATGATCCCACAGACGTCAATTTAACGTCTACTCCACGTTGGTTCAACATAATTTCATTGAAATGACGTGGAAACAACGTTGATTCAAACAGTGTGTGCCCAGTGGGATGTGACTTTTTATATAATCTGATTGAGCCTGTAACCTGCATGTAGACATTAAGGGATCATTATATAAGCTATATTGTGTTTTTCCAGCGTGAAGCAGCAGGAGAAAATGGCTAACTATTGTAAAACCAAATCTGGAGATATGCTGCTAACGGATCCTCTGGACAAGTACCCTGTGAGTGGGATTGTCTGTCAGGAACTGACAGGTCCCTTTGTCTGAGTCATACAGTTGAAGTCGGAAGTTTACATACACTTAGGTTGGAGTCATTAAAACTCGTTTTTCAACCACTCCACAAATGTCTTGTTAACAAACTGTGGTTTTGGCAAGTCGGTTAGGACATCTACTTTGTGCATGACACAAGTAATTTTTCTAACAATTATTTACAGACAGATTATTTCACTTATAATTCACTGAATCACAATTCCAGTGGGTCAGAAGTTTACATACGCTAAGTTGACTGTGCCTTTAAACAGCTTTGAAAATTCCAGAAAACGATGTCAAGGCTTTAGAAGCTTCTGATAGGCTAATTGACATCATTTGAGTGAATTGGAGGTGTACCTGTGGATGTATTTCAAGGCCTACCTTCAAACTCAGTGCCTCTTTGCTTGACATCATGGGAAAAGAAAAGAAATCAGCCAAGACTTCAGAAAATAAACTGTAGCCCTCCACAAGTGTGGTTCATCCTTGGGAGCAATTTCCAAACACCTGAAGGTACCACGTTCATCTGTACAAACAATAGTACGCAAGTATAAACACCATGGGACCACGCAGCCGTCATACCGCTCAGGAAGGAGACACGTTCTGTTTCCTAGAGATGAATGTACTTTGGTGCGAAAAGTGCAAATCAATCCCAGAACAACAGCAAAGGACCTTGTGAAGATGCTGGAGGAAACAGGTACAAAAGTATCTATATCCATAGTAAAACAAGTCCTATATTGACATAACTTGAAAGGCTGCTCAGCAAGGAAGAAGCCACTGCTCAAAAACCGCCATAAAAAAGCCAGACTACGGTTTGCAACTGCACATGGGGACAAAGATCGTACTTTTTGGAGAAATGTCCTCTGGTCTGATGAAACAAAAATAGAACTGTTTGGCCATAATGACCATTGTTATGTTTGGAGGAAAAAGGGGAGGGCTTGCAAGCCGAAGAACACCATCCCAACCGTGAAGCACGGGGTGGCAGCATCATGCTGTGGGGATGCTTTGCTGCAGGAGGGACTGGTGCACTTCACAAAATAGATGGCATCATGAGGAAGGAAAATTATGTGGATATATTGAAGCAACATCTCAAGACATCAGTCAGGAAGTTAAAGCTTGGTCGCAAATGCCTACCTCCCGAGGGGCGCAGTGGTCTAAGGCACTGCATCGCAGTGCTAGCTGTGCCACTAGAGATCCTGGTTCATATCCAGGCTCTGTAGTAGCAGGCCGCGACCGGGAGACCCATGGGGCAGCGCACAATTGGCCCAGCATCGTCCAGGGTAGGGGAGGGAATGGCCGGCAGGGACGTAGCTCAGTTGGTAGAGCATGGCGTTTGCAACGCCAGGGTTGTGGGTTCGATTCCCACAGGGGGCCAGTATGAAAAATAAAAAAATAATGTATGCACTGGATAAGAGCGTCTGCTAAATGACAAAAAAAAAAAAATGGGTCTTCCAAATGGACAATGACCCCAAGCATACTTACAAAGTTGTGGCAAAATGGCTTAAGGACAACAAAGTCAAGGTATTGGAGTGGCCATCACAAAGCCCTGACCTCAATCCTATAGAAAATGTGTAGGCAGAACTGAAAAAGCTTGTGTGAGCAAGGAGGCCTACAAACCTGACTCAGTTACACCAGCTCTGTCAGGAGGAATGGGCCAAAATTCACCCAGCCTATTGTGGGAAGCTTGTGGAAGGCTACCTGAAATGTTTAACAATTTAAAGGCAATGCTACCAAATACTAGTTGAGTGTATGTAAACTTCTGACCCACTGGGAATGTGATGAAATAAATAAAAGCTGAAATAAATCATTCTGACATTTCACATTCTTAAAATAAAGTGGTGATCCTAACTGACCTAAAATAGGGAATTTTTACTAGGATTAAATGTCAGGAATTAACAACAACAAAAAAAACATTTTAAGTGATGCTTGTTTACTCAATTATTGTGATAAATGTGCACTTACCTTCAAGTTGTCTCTGAACTCTTCTGAGCTCTTTCAGAATATATGTGATTTCCTGAAATACAAAATAGGCATGTTACACACTGCTGTATACCATCTGTCTGGAATTGGTTTATTGCTGATAAACTGGTGTGATAACTTTTGATTGTTCCTATTATTATTATTATTATTATTATTATTAGTCATGATAAGGCACACTTGTAGAGTTCCTTTATTGACCACTGCAGGTCAGTGTTGCACTGTTTTGAGTTGCACAAAGCTCTAATGCACATGCCATAAAAATGCAGATCCAGCTCACATGAAAATGTTGTGCTGCATGCAGCAGTGAAGAAACATGAATGTGATTTTGAAATGTTCTGAAAATATGTTGTTTTTTCTCCAGATTTCCCAATGCAGCACAACATGTCTTTATTTGAATTCAACAGAAGGACAGGCTACCGCCTCAAGCATGACCTCTTCTGTGGTAGTGACAAGAAGTTTGACCCCTACTGTGACAGGATCGACACCATCGTGGACAACACACTGACCATCAAGGCAATTATTATTATTTATTATTATTACGTTTAATCCAATCACACAGAGAGAGCAGCAGACATCGGCACTATTCAGTATTATTGCTTCAGGCTTTTGTGACAGGCATTTAAAACATCTCATAAAAAAATTATAGGTCTAAAATGTGTGAGTTCTAATGTAGTTATTGGACTGTTTAGTCATTATCAAACCACTCTGGATCATTATCCATGGTTTCACTTTGGAAGAGCTGACGCAGCTGGCTGTTTGGATCTGGGGGCTATTTTCCTCCCACTTGTTTTTCTGAGTAGCATACCCTCAGGCTTTCTCTCTCTCTCTCTCTCTCTCTTTCTGTGTGTGTGTTCGTCTTGGCTGAATATGTCTGTCTGTTTTGTGATAGTCTACTGTAAGTGGACAGTCAGTGTGTATACAGGCCTGCTGCGTCTGCAGCTGTATTTCTTCCCTTATTTGGGTCTTTCTATAAATAATGGGGCAATGTGTGACATTGGGATCAAATTTCTAAATGGTTTGAAGCAGTTCCACATGTGTACTTAGAGGATTCAAATGAATATATTCAAATTAGCCCATAACTCCACCTATACAACATAGGCCTATGACTATACATCCTTTAAGCAGGGTTCATACAGACATTTGGCAAGTCAAATTCATGGACTTTCAGGGACTTTTTCAAACACTTAATTGCAATCTTCAAGGACCTCAATATTATACAATTGTATAATTTATATAATTGTACATATAGGGCCTAATTTTGAACCCCCTCCCCCAAAAAAGCATGCAAAAGTGTCAAGAAAGGAGGCCATTACCACTTTAAGAATAATGCATTTTTTGGGGGGTCTTGCCAATGCATTGATATTCAAATTATTATTACATTCTAAAATATGTGAGAATAATGTGGACATTGCCTGACTAAATAGATTGGATGCATGGCTGATTTTCTGTAGCCTATGTGGCCGACGCAGGCACACATAATAAAAAAATATAAAAACATTAACAAAAACAAAAAATTACATTGTAAAGTGGTTATCCCACTGGCTATAAGGTGAATGTACCTATTTGTAAGTCGCTCTGGATAAGAGCGTCTGCTAAATGACGTAAATGTAAAAATGTAAATGTATGTTATTTCATTACCAGATCATATTGTGAATAAGCCCACTAGGCTAAGTAATTTGTTGTCATTATATCCAGAATAATTAATTGGAAATTAATGAGCGTTGGGTGTTGAGCAATAGTCTAATTGTGTCCAATCCCAGGCTCAAAAACATGAACTCATTACCTTGAAGCTTTCTCTGTTAAATCTAACGAGACCCTGCTGTAAATCAAACAGACAACAACAAATGATCAACATCAATTATTAGATCCAACATGGATCCACGCACAACTGTTTTCACCGGCATAACGAATGAGACACCAAAGTATTCTGGACATGCCTTTCGAACACCTTTTTTCCAGCACTTGGGCTGTTGTAGCATGGCATGCGCTATCACAACAGCTGTTCGTCACATGACTATCATTCGAAAAGTTCCTTCCTGGATCAGATGATAATGGGGCGGCGCACAATTGGGCGGCCCATGGGATCCATGGGCGGCGCACAATTGGTCCAGCGTTGTCCAAGGTAGGGGAGGGTTTGGCCGGCAGGGATGTGGGTTCGTTTCCCACGGGGGGCCAGCATGAAAAAATAAAAATAAAATAAAATAAAAAATAACATGTATGCATTCACCACCTGTAAGTCGCTCTGGATAAGAGCTTCTGCTAAATGACTGAAAATGTAAAATGTAATGTATGATATGTGAAAATTTCATGCATAATCAGCTGGACACCAAATGCGCATCCAACAAGTATTATGCATAATTATTGAAAAACCACCAAATGCGCATCCAACAAGTATTATGCATAATTATTGAAAAACCACGTTAATGACAGTATCGATTTAGGTTTTAAGTATCAAGGTAAGGTGACTCTTTAAGCATTTGATTTTGCAATGCATACATTATTTCAGATTTCTGTGCCAAGAAAACTGTTTTCACCCCATAACATAAAGAGACACGAAATGTTACCTAGTTACACTGCATTTCTGAGATCTCTATACAAAAAAACTGTCTGACAGCTAGATCCTGGATTCTTACTGGGTTCAAGTTCAATGTCTAATTTAACTGATTTATACTTAATATGTGATATAATAAAAATGGACACTGCCATAAATGCAAGGACAGAAAGTAAATGTTTTATGTCACACGATTGTGGACAAATCTGTCAATACACCAACCATGATAAAGAGTTAAACAGGTTTTAAATCAACTCATGAATTTTATTGAATCTAGCAATGATCTCCCCTTATATCTTAATGTAATGACATGAAAATAATTGGAAGATTATTATCAATGACTTATCAACAGCTGTAACAAGATGTCCAGTGTAGGAAATCCTCAATGGTAACCTAGTTTATAGAAAGACCCTTTTACCAAAGGCCTACATGTGTTTCTAAAGGTGTTATCATCAGTGGAGGCTGCTGAGGGGAGTACGGCTCATAATAATGTCTGGAACGGCGCCAATGGAATGGCATACAAAAAAATGCTAACCATGTGTTTCATGTATTTGATACAATTCCGCTCCAGGCATTACCACAAGCCCGTCTTCCTCAATTAAGGTACTACCAACCTCCTGTGTATCATATATATTTGTTATCATAATTCCTTAAAGATCTACTCAGGCCAGTTCCTGTCAGACAAGAGTGTGAAGACAGGCGTGGAAGAAGTATCAGACCAAGTGGTCTCCCATAACGAACACCATTAACCCAGTGTGGAACGAGGAACCCTTTGTTTTTGAGAAGGTATACTCATTCAATTCGTTCAGTTATCATTTCTATAAGCTAATAATTTTGCCTTGATGAATGCATGTCAGAAGGGTCAAGCTTGTTGTTGTGTGGACAGATCCTGCTGCCTGACATGGCCTCCCTCAGGATCGTGGTTCACGAGGAGGGCAGGAGGTTTCTGGGCCACAGGATCATCCCCATTGAGGCCCTTCAGTCAGGTCTGTATGATAACATGTTACATTACCTTTCTTTTATACCGGTGAAGTAACACTGTTATTAATCTAGTAACACCACAGTATTAACATGGTGTTGTTACAGTGTTGAGTGATTACCGCTTTACTACACAGATATTAGAGCAACTTCATGTAGTGTTACCTATTTCTACATGGGTTTAAACTGCACTTCTGCCCAGTCTTCCCTACAATGAGGCTGATTGAAGTAGACCTTGAGTCAGAAGGCTTCTGCCTGTGTCTGATTGATTCATGGGGTTTTGTGCCCTGCAGGCTTCCAGCACATCTGTCTGCGCAGCAAGAGCAACATGCCGCTCACTCTGCCAGCTCTCTTTGTGTACATCGAGGTCAAGGACTACATCCCTGCTGCTTTTGCAGGTACAGTACACTTACTTTTAGTTTCTATTTCAGAAAAGGCACCAAATCATTTTAATTCACATTTTAATTTTCACATTTCAGTTCGCATGATTGTGTAGGTAGGATTTACACCTATAGATGATGTTTTAAGAGTCATTTATTTGAAAGTCACTAGGGGACTGATTTCTTCTGTATTGTCTTGTTCTGCCTCAGATTTCATAGATGCCTTATTCAACCCAATAAAGAATTCTGAGAAGACAACAAAGACAACAGAGGTAAATCAATTCCCAGACAGAGCTCATTGAAACACGTGAAAATTACATGTTTCATTCCCAAGGTTCTCATCCTTTCACAACAAAACATTTCCATAGTGAGATGTGAAAAGGGCTTGGTTGGTTTTATGGTGTCTTTGTTAGGGCTTTGATGGTCTTGTGCTCTGTCCTCGCAGTCATCAGCAGACTACGTCTCCCCATATGAGACGCCCCTTGTCAACATAACACAGACTGTGGGAGAGAAGACTGCATTTGCAGAAACAGGTAATGAAGGCTGTTTCCTGTTGGGTAGGGCCAAGATTTAAATTCACTAGAGTTTGAGTGCACAGTGTGTGAAAATACATGCTGTTTTGTAATTCACTGTGCTCTTTGCCTATGCTGTTCCACTAGAGCCAGATACTAAAGCTTCCTCTCCAGTGAAGGAAGCTGATACTTCTGCTGGTACCCAGGATACTCCACCTACTCCTGAAGAGGCCCCTCCAGAGCCTGAACCCAACATGGATTCACCTTCACCCTCAAACACTTTCAGTGTGGAGGCTGAACCTGCCCCAATCATTCAGTCGTCTGTTGACCCCATCCAGAGTGTTGAGAAGGTTCCAGAGCCTGAGGCTCTCTGTGATGCCCCTAAGGTTGACCCCGAGACTGCTCCAGCCACAGAGTTGACCCCTGACCCCAAGGTTGACTCCACTACCTGTTCAGACCCCAACAGTCACGTCGACCCCACCCCAAATGTTGACTCCACCCTAGATGTTACACCCGATGTCGTCCCTACCTCTGATCCAGATGTTGAATCCACCACAGGAGGTTGGTGACACCTTAATTGGGGAGAATGGGCTTGTGGTAATGTCTGGAGCGGAATCAGTGGAATGGTATCAAATACATCAAACACATGGTGTCCAGGTGTTTGATGCCATTCCATTTGCACCATTCCAGCCATTATTATGAGTCGTTCAGCCCCTCAGCAGCCTCCACTGGATTTTTTTTGTTATTCTGTCTCTCACTGTTCAAATAAACCCACCATTAAAATTATAGACTGATCATGTCTTTGTCAGTGGGCAAACGTACAAAATCAGCAGGGGATCAAATACTTTTTTCCCTCACTGTAGCTCTCTCTCTCTTGCTTCTCCTTTAAATTAATTTGTTCAAAACTGTTCAACTATTGTCTTTCTCTCTCTTTGAGTCAACTACTCACCACATTTTATGCACTGCAGTGCTAGCTAGCTGTAGCTTATGCTTTCAGTAATAGATTAATTCTCAGATCCTTTGATTGGGTGGACAACATGTCAGTTCATACTGAAAGAGCTCTGATAGGTTGGAAGACGTCCTCCAGAAGTTGTCATAATTACTGTGTAAGCCTATGGAAGGGGGTGAGAACCACGAGCCTCCTAGGTTTTGTATTGAAGTCAATGTACCCAGAGGAGGACGGAAACTAGCTGTCCTCCAGCTACACCATGGTGCTACCGTACAGAGTGCTGTTGAGGCTACTGTAGACCTTCATTGAAAAACAGTGTGTTTAATCAATTATTTGGTGACGTGAATATATGTAGTATAGTTTTATCTAAAAATGATATATTTTTTAAATATTTCACTATTTTTATTTTTATGAAATTCACTGAGGAGGATGCTCCGAGGAGCCTCCACTGAAATACATATATCAGCACATAGAAAGTAGGAACAGTGTAAAATCTGACAACATCCATCCATAGTCTCCCCTCTCCTCTTTCAGAGCCGTCCACAGTTCCCTGTGAGGACATGAAGGAACTGGAGAATAAGTTCCAGAAGAAAGGAGAGGAGCTCATCCAGTAATACAGCGACACATTCAAAGCCCTCAAGAAGAAGAACGCCATGAAGAAAAAATAGTAATGGAATACACTCCTAGATGTTTTTTAAGCCCTCTGGAGTTAAAGTTTTCTGACTCAACAAATTAATGTTTTATTTTCATCTCATCCACTAGGGGGTGGTGGCAGACACACAGAATGTATTCATGTTGTTTTTCTGTTGGCCAGTTTAATTAATGAGAATTATATTTAGACTGATAATAATTAGCTTCACGGAGATTTGGAATATTCCTAAGCTAATGTGTTTTTCTTGGTAGAGCAGTTAATGAAGGGATAAAAATATCCTCCAAATGCGTCTGCTAAATGACTAAAATGTGAAATGTAAGATATGTTTTTAAATAGAAACATGTATTGCTTGTGGAAGAACACCTCTAGGCTTGTACCCAGGATGCTTTGCTTGAGTATTTCCTGGTCAGGTTACATTATCAGGAAAACCTCCTGGCCCTAAGATCCTACTTTATATCAGCATACTGCTGCTAGGATGAAGTAACAGACCTCTATGTGAGGCAGTGATATGGAGGCCTGGTAGAGCGCCATGAGCCCTGATAGCACCCCCGAGCCGCTGATAGAGCCCCTTTTACAAAGATCATCCCATAGAAATAGGAATTAGAATACTAAAATGGAGATTAACCTTCTTATGATGGGATAAAGGTCAAACATTTTGGTCAGTGAGTTGTTCATACATGGTTTACCAGCGATGTGATAAGATATTGTGTAAAATAATGAATTTGAAGAATTTATCTGCACTAGCTTTGTTAGCTAGCCAGCCAGTTTTAGAGGAATGATTCCAATACTTTTTCAATGAACTGCCAATATGCCAACATTCCATTCGAACAATGCAGTCAATCCACAGCCATACACTGGCTGAAATCTGTTGATGATAGGACTTAGACAAGTTGTAAATGCAACAAGTACTGATATTGTAACATATAATAGCACTCACAGCTTTCCAAGAAAACATAAATTGAAACATTTATGGTCTGTTTACATACATTTTAGAGGCTATTTATACAGAAAATATGTATAAGGTTGTCAATAATTCTGTTACACAATTTATGATATATCACATGCCTTTTATTTTCATGCATAAATCAAATATGGATTATGCCTATACAGTGATCCCTCGCCACTTCGCGGTTCACTTATCGCGGATTCGCTATTTCGCGGATTTTCATAATGCATTTTTTTTTTTTTGGTGCATTGTGCTCTGCATTCTGATTCGCTAAAAACTCACTCCCGCTTCTTGTATCAAAACATGCTACGAATTGTGCTATCATTTTGTCGTCTCGTGCAGTTATGTGTACGTACATAAAACAGCTTGGCAAATTTACATTAAGTTGGCCAAATTATCTTGTAATTTCGAACATCTCCTAAACCCATAATGTCGACGAAACGGCCTGGACCGACAAAAGCACCTGCGGATGGGCCCAAACGGCGGAAGATGCTACCTATCTCAGATAAAGTTAAACTTCTGGACATGCTAAGGGAAGGTAAATGACAAAGCCACAAAGCGACGATGAAAGAGAAGAGGGAGAAGAGATTTGCCTATACTGTCATTCATTCCAATTAAACTGGTTTGGAGTTCTCCCTGACCAATATGGCTGCCATTTTCACCCCATTATGGAACTTTGAGGGTTTATACACAGCCCCTATAGTAATTTCATAGGATCTCTATGGATCATCCATCCCCCTCTGGGTATTACTGTAGGGATCAGCAGTAGACTCTTGTTCCCTTCCCCATGTCATGTCTAGAACCTGGTCTCTGATGGGGTGACTGTGTCCCCCAGGAGAGGAGGTGAGATGGCAGAGCCCGTCCCCAGGGAGGAGAGGGTGACGGAGCAGAAGGAGAGGCTGCAGGTGGATCTCAGAGCTCTGTGGGTGGAGCAGTGTGATCAGCTGAAGAAGAGGTACAATAAAGGACAGACAAACTCTAACTGCCAGAGTCAATTCGATATTAAGGATATTATTGATAGTTCTTTGCATAAACATAATGTATCTCTTATTCAAGGATATCTTTATTTTTACATTGCATCTATGTACTGGATAAGTAGTTGAGGTAAGATGTGTTTATTTAAAGACAACAGTGTGTAATAAACTTACAACTGTGACTCTATTCACCTCTGGTCCTGAGCACAGCACCCTAACCACTTCTCACCATACACTACTCTTGGCCACCTGGACAAGAGGAAAACCTACGTGAGAATGCTATTCATTGACTACAGCTCAGCATTCAACACCAGAGTGCACTCAAAGCTCATCACTAAGCTAAGGATCCTGGGACTAAACACCTCCCTCTGCAACTGGATCCTGGACTTCCTGACGGGCCGCCCCCAGGTGGTAAGGGTAGGTAAAAACACATCTGCCACACTGATCCTCAACACGGGGGCCCCTCAGGGGTGCGTGCTCAGTCCCCTCCTGTACTCCCTGTTCACCCATGACTGCATGGCCAGGCACGACTCCAACACCATCATTAAGTTTGCCGACGACACAACAGTGGTAGGCCTGATCACCGACAACGATGAGACAGCCTATAGGGAGGAGGTCAGAGACCTGGCCATGTGGTGCCAGGATAACAACCTCTCCCTCAACGTGACCAAGACAAAGGAGATGATTGTGGACTACAGGAAAAAAAAGAGGACTGAGCACGCCCCCATTCTCATCGACGGGGCTGTAGTGGAACAGGTTGAGAGCTTCAAGTTCCTTGGTGTCCACATCACCAACAAACTATCATGGTCCAAACACACCAAGACAGTTGTGAAGAGGGCACGACAAAGCCTATTCCCCCTCAGGAGACTGAAAAGATTTGGCATGGGTCCTCAGATCCTCAAAGAATTCTACAGCTGCACCATCGAGAGCATCCTGACTGGTTGCATCACCGCCTGGTATGGCAACTGCTTGGCCTCCGACCATAAGGCACTACAGAAGGTAGTGCGTACGGCCCAGTACATCACTGGGACCAAGCTTCCTGCCATCCAGGACCTCTATACCAGGCGGTGTCAGAGGAAGGCCCTCAAAATTGTCAAAGACTCCAGCCACCCTAGTCATAGACTGTTCTATCTGCTACCGCACGGCAAGCGGTACCGGAGTGCCAAGTCTAGGTCCAAAAGACTTCTCAACAGCTTCTACCCCCAAGCCATAAGACTCCTAAACAGCTAATCATGGCTACCCGGACTATTTGCACTGCCCCCCCCCACCCCATCTTTTTACGCTGCTGCTACTCTGTAAATTATTTATGCATAGTCACTTTAACTCTACCCACATGTACATATTACTTCAACTACCTCAACTAGCCGGTACCCCCGCACATTGACTCTGCACCGGTAACCCCCTGTATATATAGCCTCCCTACTGTTATTTTATTTTACTTCTGCTCTTTTTTTCTCAACACTTTTTTGTTTTATTCTACTTTTTTATTAAAAATAAATGCACTGTTGGTTAAGGGCTGTAAGTAAGCATTTCACTGTAATGTCTGCACCTGTTGTATTCGGCGCATGTGGCCAATACAATTTGATTTGATTTGATTTGGCTCTGTTCACCACACCTATCGATTTCCTCAGGACTCACCCAAAACTGGGACTCATTCCCACGTGCAGAGCCCCACCATGCACCTAACCTCAAGAGTGAATCTCACCTCATGCCTTCAGCTGATGGCTGGGAGCCAGGCCTGTAGCACAGTATTGATTATCCATCACAACCAGGTGCTCTTAGCATAAGCTCTGGATCTGCATCAGATAGAGGTCAATCAGGTAATTTTCTCTGGGTTGTGACCTCACTGCTCAGGGAATAAACCCCCCTGGACTGGAAGGCCAATCGAGCTAGCATCTCATAGTCAGGTCTCAGTCAGTCACAGTCAGAATCAGTTTCAGTCAGAGTGCATGCAAATGCATGGCAAAGGTTGTGTTACAGTAGTTTTATTTATTTATCTATCTATCTATATATGAAGTTTTACAGCACATACCGCATGCTGTTTATCAGATCTCTAACACATTTCAGTGGAGACTTCCACTAGGTCTGTTTTGCACTTGGTAGAGCTGCCGCTCTGTTACTGATACTTCCTGTTGCCTGTTTCCTGTGTGACTGACAGCGACTAGCCAAGCTGTTGGAGATGGCCACGGAGAGACACATCATTGAACTCAATGCTTGGAGAGGTGGGCCAACACACATCACAGTAGCCTACCTATAATATGCAAGACCTGTGTGTGTCTGTATAAAGCACATGTGTGTTAGACAGGGAAAGTATTTGACCTTTTGCAAAGACAATAACTGAAGTAATAGATGAGTCAGCCATCCATGCAGGTTATTCAAGGTCCTCGGCCAGCTTATGGTGGTCTGTAGTGTGGGTGCAGGTGTTAGAGTGTATTTTTTTTTGGTGTATGTGTGAATGAAGGAGTCAGGCGCAGGAGGTAAAATACAGAAGTCCAGAGTTTATTCCGTTTACATAAATCAAATGCCCAAAGCGTAAAACGAAACTATTACAAGGGGAAACATCCACCTTGGCATAAACACAGTGAATTGTAGCTCAACCGAGCTACACGCTCTCACAACAAACAATCACTCACAAAGACAAGGGGAACAGAGGGAACACTTATACACATATTAATTAGGGGAATGAGCACCAGGTGTGTGTGATTGACAAGACATGACAAGTGGAGTGATGAGAATGGGATCGGCAGTAGCTAGTACTCCGGTGACGACGAATGCCAAAGCCTGCCCGACCCGAGAAGGGGGGGGGCAGCCTCGGCGGAAGTTGTGACCCCCCCCCCCCCCCCCCCCCGACGCGCGGCTCCAGCAGTGCGCCGACCCCGGCCTCAGGGACGGCCAGGAGGACGCGGAGCAGGGCGAGTCGGATGGCGACGGTGGAAATCCCTCAACAGGGAGGGATCGAGGATGTCCCGCCTTGGGATCCAGCACCGTTCCTCCGGACCGTACCTCTCCCACTCCACGAGATACTGAAGGCCCCACACCCGACGCCTCGAATCCAGGATGGAACGGACCGAGTATGCCGGGGCCCCCTCAATGTCCAGAGGAGGTGGAGGAAGCTCCCGCACCTCATACTCCTGGAGCGGACCAGCTACCACCGGCCTGAGGAGAGACACATGAAACGAGGGGTTAATACGGTAATCGGAGGGAGTAACAAACGGTATGTCACCTCGTTTATTCTCCTCAGGACTTTAAATGGCCCCACAAACCGCGGGCTCAGCTTCCGGCGGGGCAGGCGGAGGGGCAGATTCCGGGTCAAGAGCCAGACCCGATCCCCCAGTACGAACACCGGGGTCTCCCTGCGGTGGCGGTCAGCGTTGGCCTTCTGACGACGCCCGGCGCGCTGGAGGCGAACGTGGGCAGCGTCCCAAGTCTCCTCCACGCGCCAAAACTAGTCATCCACTGCAGGAGCCTCGGTCTGGCTCTGGTGCCATGGTGCCAGGACCGGTTGGTAACCTACAGTGGGGAAAAAAAGTATTTAGTCAGCCACCAATTGTGCAAGTTCTCCCACTTAAAAAGATGAGAGAGGCCTGTAATTTTCATCATAGGTACACGTCAACTATTACAGACAAAATGAGAAAAGAAAATCCAGTAAATCACATTGTAGGATTTTTATGAATTTATTTGCAAATTATGGTGGAAAATAAGTATTTGGTCAATAACAAAAGTTTCTCAATACTTTGTTATATACCCTTTGTTGGCAATGACACATGTCAAACGTTTTCTGTAAGTCTTCACAAGGTTTTCACACACTGTTGCTGGTATTTTGGCCCATTCCTCCATGCAGATCTCCTCTAGAGCAGTGATGTTTTGGGGCTGTCGCTGGGCAACACGGACTTTCAACTCCCTCCAAAGATTTTCTATGGGGTTGAGATCTGGAGACTGGCTAGGCCACTCCAGGACCTTGAAATGCTTCTTACGAAGCCACTCCTTCGTTGCCCGGGCGGTGTGTTTGGGATCATTGTCATGCTGAAAGACCCAGCCACGTTTCATCTTCAATGCCCTTGCTGATGGAAGGAGGTTTTCACTCAAAATCTCACGATACATGGCCCCATTCATTCTTTCCTTTACACGGATCAGTCGTCCTGGTCCCTTTGCAGAAAAACAGCCCCAAAGCATGATGTTTCCACCCCCATGCTTCACAGTAGGTATGGTGTTCTTTGGATGCAACTCAGCATTCTTTGTCCTCCAAACACGACGAGTTGAGTTTTTACCAAAAAGTTCTATTTTGGTTTCATCTGACCATATGACATTCTCCCAATCCTCTTCTGGATCATCCAAATGCACTCTAGCAAACTTCAGACGGGCCTGGACATGTACTGGCTTAAGCAGGGGGACACGTCTGGCACTGCAGGATTTGAGTCCCTGGCGGCGTAGTGTGTTACTGATGGTAGGCTTTGTTACTTTGGTCCCAGCTCTCTGCAGGTCATTCACTAGGTCCCCCCGTGTGGTTCTGGGATTTTTGCTCACCGTTCTTGTGATCATTTTGACCCCACGGGGTGAGATCTTGCGTGGAGCCCCAGATCGAGGGAGATTATCAGTGGTCTTGTATGTCTTCCATTTCCTAATAATTGCTCCCACAGTTGATTTCTTCAAACCAAGCTGCTTACCTATTGCAGATTCAGTCTTCCCAGCCTGGTGCAGGTCTACAATTTTGTTTCTGGTGTCCTTTGACAGCTCTTTGATCTTGGCCATAGTGGAGTTTGGAGTGTGACTGTTTGAGGTTGTGGACAGGTGTATTTTATACTGATAACAAGTTCAAACAGGTGCCAATAATACAGGTAACGAATGGAGGACAGAGGAGCCTCTTAAAGAAGAAGTTACAGGTCTGTGAGAGCCAGAAATCTTGCTTGTTTGTAGGTGACCAAATACTTATTTTCCACCATAATTTGCAAATAAATTCATAAAAACTCCTACAAATGTGATTTTCAGGATTTTTTTTCTCAATTTGTCTGTCATAGTTGACGTGTACCTATGATGGAAATTACAGGCCTCTCTCATCTTTTTAAGTGGGAGAACTTGCACAATTGGTGGCTGACTAAATACTTTTTTTCCCCTCTGTAAAACACATTGGAAGGGTGTTAGGTTAGTGGAGGAGTGGCGGAGAGAGTTCTGAGCATATTCTGCCCATGGCAGGAACACCGACCACTCCCCCGGGCCGGTCCTGACATTAGGTCCGCAGGAACCTACCCACATCTTGATTCACCCTTTCCACCTGCCCATTACTCTAGGGGTGAAATCCAGAGGAAATTTCATGAACGCCTTCCAGACTCTAGACGTGAACTGGGGACCTCGGTCGGACACTATATCCTCTGGTACCCCGTAGTGCTGGAAGACGTGAGTAAACAGAGCCTCCGCCGTTTGTAGGGCCGTGGGGAGACCAGTCAGAGGAAGGAGGCGGCAGGACTTTGAAAAGCGGTCCACAACGACCAGGATAGTGGTGTTACCTTGGGAGGGGGGAAGATCAGTGAGAAAATCAATACTCAGGTGAAACCATGGTCGTTGTGGAACTGGTAAAGGTTGTAGCTTACCCGCTGGGAGGTGCCTAGGTGCCTTACTCTGGGCGCACACTGAGCATGAGGAAACATACACCCTCACGTCCTTAGCCAAGGTAGGCCACCAGTACTTCTCGGTCAGGCAGCGCATTGTACGACCGATACCTGGATGACCAGAGGAGGGTGATGTGTGTGCCCAGTAGATCAGACGATCACGGATAAGCGCAGGCACGTACTGCAGCCCAGCTGGACACTGCGGTGGAGATGGATCTGTGCGTAATGCCTGCGCTATATCTGCGTCCATTGCCCATACTACCGGCGCCACAATGCATGAGGCCGGGAGTATGGGGGTGTTGTCTCTGGGCCTCTCCTCTGTGTCGTATGGCCGAGACAGTGTGTCTGCCTTCACGTTCTTCGTACCCGGAATGTATGAGAGTGTGAAATCAAACCGGGTGAAGAAGAGGGCCCACCTGGCCTGGCGAGGATTCAGCCTCCTCGCTGCCCGAATGTACTCCAGGTTACGGTGGTCTGTCCAGACGAGGAAAGGGTGTTTCGCCCCTTCGAGCCAATGTCTCCACACCGTTAAAGCTCGGACAACAGCCAACAGCTCCCGATCACCAACGCTGTAGTTCTGCTCTGTCGAGCTGAGCTTCTTAGAAAAGACGGCACAGGGGTGGAGCTTGGGTGGCGTGCCCGAGCGTTGGGATAAGACAGCTCCTATCCCTACCTCGGATGCATCCACCTCCACTACGAAGGGTAGTGATGGATCGGGGTGAGCCAGTACCGGTACAGGTGAACAGACCCCGCAATCTACTGAAGGCCAAATCAGCCTCAGCAGACCAGCGGAGCCGGGACGGCCCACCCTTCAACAAGGAGGTAATGGGAGCTGCGACCTTGCCAAAGCCCCAAATAAACCTTTGATAGTAGTTGGCAAAGCCAAGGAAGCGCTGCACCTCCTTTACCGTGGTTGGAGTCGGCCAATTACGCACGGCGCACCACCTGTGGTGGTAATGCGATATCCGAGGAAGGAGATTGACTGCTGGAAAAACTCACACTTCTCTGCCTTGGCATAAAGATCATTTTCCAGCAGTCGGACCAGTACCTTGCAAACCAGGGACACATGCTTGGCGCAGGTAGCGGAATACACCAGGATGTCATCGATGTAGACCACCACACAGTGACCAAGCATGTCCCGAAACACCTCGTTCACAAAGGACTGGAAAATGGATGGAGCATTCATCAAACCGTAGGGCATCACCAGGTATTCATAATGCCCCGAGGTTGTGCTGAATGCTGTTTTCCACTCATACCCTTCCCGACTACGCACCAGGTGAAGTGTAGGGACGTATATACCCCTGGCGCAGGGACTCGGTGACGTATGTTTCCATAGCCTCTGTTTCAGCCTGCGACAGGGGATACACATGACTCCTGGGAGGTACAGCGTCTACCCGAAGGTTTATCGCGCAATCCCCCTCCCGATGAGGTGGTAATTTAGTCGCTTGGAAAACGCGAGCGCCAGATCATGGTATTCGGGGGGAATGCGCATGGTGGGGGTACCGTCTGGACTTTCCACCGTGGTCGCACCAACGGAAACACCTAGACACCTACCCGGACACTCACGCGACCACCCCGTAAGAACCCTCTGCGGCCATGAGAAATTGGGGTTGTGAAGGGCTAACCACGGGATATCCAAGACTACAGGGTAAGCAGTTGACTCAATAATCATAAAGGTGATATGCTCAACATGCGTCTCCTGCGTAATCATGGTGACTGGTACCGTAACTTCCTTAACCAACCCGGACCCTAATGGTCGACTATCAAGTGCTCTGATGGGGAGTGGAATGGTTAGGGGAACCAATGAAATGCCTTGATGGCGTGCAAATGCCCTGTCCATAAAATTCCCAGCTGCGCCTGAATCGACTAGCGCCTTACACTGGGAACCTATCAAGTGATCGGGAAAGGAGATAGATAAAGTACAGTGCGCCGCAAAGGGCTCTGAACACGTTTGGGTGTTCGTTACCTGGGGTGATGCGTGAGTACCCTGCCTACCGCCTCCAGACCCAAAAGTATGTTGACTGAGACGTGAGGTGGATTGTCCCTTCGTGCCACCAGAGTGGCACTGTCGCTGTCCTCCTGCGCTCTCTCGACCGGCGGCTCCCCCCAGCTACATCTGCTCGGGGTCAGAGTCGTCCGGAGTGGGAACGGGCAGACCCCTACCAGGACGTCCTCTGGCTGCTAGCAGATTGTCCAGCCGGATGGCCATGTCCACCAGTTGGGAGAACGATAGCATGGCATCCCGGCAGGCTAGCTCCCGTCGGACGTCCTCCCTTAGGTGGCACCGGAAATGGTTGATCAGGGCCCGCTCGTTCCACCCGGACCCCGATGCCAGCATCCGGAACTCCAGCGCGTAGTCCTGAGCGGTCCTCGTCCCCTGCCTCAGATGAACCAGTCGTTCACCCGCCTGATCAAAAACGGCCCGAAAGAGGCGAGCAAACTCCCCGTAGTCCTCCAACGCAGTACCTTCCTCATTCCACAACGCGTTGGCCCACTCCAGGGCTCTCCCACAAAGGCAGGAAACGAGGACGAATACCTTCTCCCGCTCCCGGTGCGCTGGCCTGATGCTGGAGAAATACAACTCCAGTTGGAGTAGGAATCCCTTACATCGCGCTGCCGTCCCATCAAACGTCGGTGGCCGGGATATCTGGATCCCTCCAGGGACTGGGGTGTAGGTGGCTGGATCCGGTTGACCAGCTGGTCTCGATAGATCGGATCCTCTCCTCTCCAGGCGTTGTACCACCTGAAGAACCCGATCCATCGCTTCCCCCAAGCTGGCCAACATCGAGGAATGCTCCTGGACCCTTGCCACAACTCCAGGCATGCGGTCTTCTCCTGCTGACTCCATATCAGATCAGGTGAGTGATTCTGTGACGAGGTGTGAATGAAGGAGTCAGGCGCAGGAGGTAAAATACCAAAGTCCAGAGTTTATTCCGTTTACATAAATCAAACGCCCAAAGCGTCAAACAAAATTATTACAAGGGAAAACATCCACCTTGGCATAAACACAGTGAATAGTAGCTCAACCGAGCTATACGCTCTCACAACAAACAATCACTCACAAAGACAAGGGGAACAGAGGGAACACTTATGCACATACTAATTAGGGGAATGAGCACCAGGTGTGTGTGATTGACAAGACATGACAAGTGGAGTGATGAGAATGGGATCGGCAGTAGCGTGTACTCCAATGACGACGAACGCCGAAGCCTGCCTGAACCAGGAGGGGGGCAGCCTCGGCGGAAGTTGTGACAGTATGAGAGAGAGAAAGACTGTGCATATATATATCTGTGTGTGTGTGTGTGTGTGTGTGCGTGCGTGTGTGTGTATATATGTGTATATGAGACAGGGTGTGTGTGTGAGTATTATCCAGTGTCCCCAGCTGGCAGATGGTTATCCAAGGCCAGCCATTAGCCACCAGGTGTTCAGACAGCAGTATGAGGGATAAGACAACTTCTGTTTTTACTCATCAAACAGATACGGGACCCCTTTATTTACCCCTTTCACTTACAAAATATGAACTGGAACAAGGTCATACAGCCTGACTGCATAAGATGTTTTTTGAATGGTAGTTTTCATGTAATGGGATGAGTGAGGCTTTCACTTAAATGGCCTCAAAATCAGACCCAGTGATGTGTGTTCTCTGTTTCCTCCCCAAGTGAATCCAAGTAGACAAAGAAGAAAGGGCAGTCAAAGTGCTCAGGTTCAGACAAGGCAAGGTGAGCTGAATGTGTGCTTATGGAATCACATAAAAGACCACTCATTCAACTCAATGATTCTCTCGTTGTTTGATGTACTAGTACTGTACAAACAGTACAGAGCTCATGTATTCAGAGCTTTAAATGCAGGTTGGAAAGCAAAACTGTTTGCACGAGGCAGAGTGCTGCTGTGTTCTGAGTTGGACCAACTTCGTCTTAGACATAGACTACATAGTTTCATGGTAACTTAATCAATTCAATATTTTTTTTAAATATATACTTAGGCTGAAAAGGGCAATGAGCGTGGACCTGGCTGAGGAGTCTGCCAAGACTGATACAGTGGCAAGAGTTAAAATAGAACCTGCTATTACAGATTATAATTATAGATGTCTCAGGTCTATTACTTTAATAGCAACACCTGGATGTACACGTGTCTAACTTTTGCAGTGCTTTCCACATCCATATAGAGAAATTCACATGGTTTTCATTATCATTTGTCCATCTACTGTGGTAGACAGGGGGAGTAACTATGGTTACACTGAATGAAAGAGCTTTTCCAGAAGTGTACTGTACACAATAGTGTCTGATTCATTCACATGACCACCCTCTCTGTTCACACACACACTCACACATGCATGCACAGTCACCAGCACTTCACGTCTACTGTACTCTGCTACTTTCACACCAGTTCAGTCTAGTTGATCTGAACACCTCAATAAAGAAGGGTTTAATAGCAGATTTTATTAAATATTTTGCTCTTTCATACATTTCTGAGAGGGGTTATAATGTGATAACTTATTTGGTCAACACAACTTGTAGCTGATGTTCCACATCTTAAAGACCACTTGATGGAATTGGACAAGTCTAATCTATTGTGACCCTACAGCATTGATCTCCTCTCAGGTTGCACCTCCTGAGTGTACTGTACCAGACATCTCACACTGTCTCTCACTCTCTCCTCATCTACTTTGTAACACGTAGAGTAACGTCACCAGATTAACTGTTTACAGACATACTCATTCCCCATACTTCATGTCCTTCAAGCGTTCACACTTGCTTGGGACACACACAGCCAGCCATACAAAGTCTCTGCTCACATTGCCACCTGTTGGTACTGTAGTCTACAGACAGCAGTCCTCAGCAGGATGCTCAGGTCAAGAGACAAACGGCCACACTGGACAAGATCAAAGGCCTGGCCAATCAGGTGCTGTAAACAAACACGCTCGCACACACACATCAATTATTTTAATTACTTTCACATACATTTCAAAGTAAGTATTCATATGTTTTTTGTTTGAAAATACAAGTAGTTGAATATTGGAATGTATTTGGAAATACACTTGGAAAGCATTGGCATGTACAGTATTTGAAAATATTCAAATACACAGAGCATTTTCAAATACAAATAAATACTCCCATGCATTTGAACCCAGGTCCTAGGAGTATTTGAAATGTTTTTGGAAATAATTATTTGAAAATATTTTCAAATACTTATAATAGAAGTAGTTGATTCTGGCCATATATTTGAAAATACTCAAATACACAGAAAGTAAGTATTTAAATAATCAAATACACATGTATATGAACCCTGGTCTGACACACACGCACATTCACATACACACACCTGTCCACACGTCCGTACGCATGTATGGGTAGATAGTGCCGGTTGTCGTAAATGTTACAACAGAATGGCCATCCAGGCCTTGGCCATCCAATACGCAAATGAGCTAACACATGTAATGACGCATGATGCATACAGTTCAATCTTAAGCATGTACAGATCCTATATGCCTACTGGTAGACAAATTACAAATGTGGAAATCTAGCTTGTGTTCCAACATGTGCTAGATACAGTATGGTTCCGATGCTGACGTGTGAACATCATATGGAATATTTTATTTGATGAATGTATAGGCTACACAATAGATTTTCCAGTTGACCATGCTTCCAAACTTAAATATCATTCAGACCTGAAGGCAGGGATGCAGAGGTCATCCACCTTGCCCTTTGGATAACATATACATCTATAAGGGTTAATTATATAATGCAAATAGAGGCCTATTCAGCTCTCACCAACTCACCCTCTCTGACCTCTCACCTCCACCTGTCTGCAGCTCAATCAGGAGGCCCTGGCGGAGCACGAGAGGAAGATGAGGTCACTTCCTGATTATCTGTGGGAGGCTGTGAACGTCTGTGTGGGGGCCCACTTCCCTGAGCAGGTAGACCAGGCTGGAGAGAAGCAGCAAGACGGGGTGGGCTTCTATGTGGTTGACATGCTCCTGGACCTATCTCCCCTCCTTCCTCTTCCTCAGCAATAGGAGATAGATTTATATGGTCAATATCTGAGAATATTGGGTGTGACATGTTAGAGGTGTTGATACTACAGTATGGGATGTATTTATTACAATTTTTTTTCTTCTGTGTTTCACAGTGCTCTAATACAAAACGGAGAGGCCTATTAAGGTGATCAATGAGTTGATTAATTGGATAGTCATCTTAGAGTTAATAGAGATCAGTACAAGGATATTAGGAATTTTTCAAACACAAGCCTCTAACTCTTAGTTATCTTTCTGGCTTAATAGATTGAAGAATGAGGTACAATCCTAAAAGGATGAACTGATTTAAGAAGACTTCCTCCCACCATGGGAGACTAGCTTTACCAGCTCTATGTAGTTAGTAGCAGTGATGTTAAATACAATTTCCTACTCAATCATTTGTCAATGAAGGAACTTTATCTGCATTATGGATTATATCTAATTGTATCGTTATAACACATTCGTTTTCAGAGTTTATGGTAATACAGGTAGCTGGCTACCTTCTGATGATTAACTTTCAGTCACATCGCTTGTTTCATTGTATTGTGTGAGTGTGCTTGTTTGTATACAGGCATATATTTAGGCCCAAATGACAAGCGTGTACAGGCCAGGGTCATCACAGCATGTCCATTACTGAGTGAACTGAGTGCATCTTAATGACAGACACAGTGAAGACAGGGGAGAAGCAATTTAGTAAAAGCATGGAGAGGCGCTACGCTATTTATAACTAGCTATGCTGTTTGAGCTCACTGGCTCTTTTGTATTTAAGCAGATGACACGTGAAAACTGGATCCTATTGCCTGAGTGCCTCTGTCTCTCTCTACTTTCAATACAGGGAAACCAGAGATTGGGCCCTGGCAGATCTTCTGCTGCAAAGCTCTTCTTCTGCCTGTCATGGCCACCAATCTGGAACACAATGGGCTTACACATTCATAATTCCACATAATTACAATGCTCTTTCTCTCTGTCTATTATGATTTTAAAGCCCCAAATGGCTAATTCATTCCCACAAAGGCGATGAGAGAGGCACGTGGAAGGTGCAAGTGTCACACCACACATTAAGGGATATGTTGTCAGGAGCTGAGGAATACTCTGAGTTGAGACATTTATCCACAGTAGCAGTTAGATGAGGGAGAGGGTTTAAAGACAATCTGTCACATCAGGAAAAGACATGGGGACCCGTTTATCAGACCTTCACATACAGTGCCTTCAGAAATTATTCACGTCCCTTGACTTTTTCCAAACTTTGTTGTGTTACAGCCTGAACTTAAAATTGATTAAATTGAGATATTTTGCCACTGGCCTACACACAATACCCCATAACCTCAAAGTGAAAAAGCTGAAATGTCTTCTGTCAGTAAGTATTCAACCCCTTTGTTATGGCAAGCCTAAATAAGTTCAGGAGTAAACATTTGCTTAACAAGTCACATAATAAGTTGGATGGATTCACTCTGTGTGCACTAATAGTTATAAACATGATTGTTGAATGACTACCTCATCGCTGTATCCCACACATACAATTATCTGTAAGGTTCCTCAGTCGAGCAGTGAATTTCAAACACTGATTCAATCACAAAGACCAGGGAGGTCAGAAGGGCACCTATTGGTAGATTGGTAAAAATAAAAAGAGCAGATATTGAATATACCTTTGAGCATGGTGAAGTTATTAATTACACTTTGAATGGTGTATCAATACACCCAATCACTACAAAGATATATGCATCCTTCCTGACTCAGTTGCCAAAGAGGAAGGAAACTGCTCAGGGATTTCCCCAAGAGGCCAATGGTGACTTTAAAACAGTTACAGAGTTTAATGGCATTGATACGAGAACTGAGGATGGAGCAAAATATTCCAAAACATGCATCCTGTTTGCAACAAAGCACTAAAGTAATAATGCAAAAAATGTGGCAAAGCAATTCACTTTTTGTCCTGAAAACAAAGTGTTATGTTTGGGGCAAATACAATACAACACATTACTGAGTATCATGCTCCATATTTTCAAGCATAGTGGTGGCTGCATCATGTTATGGGTATGGTTTTAATCACTCTTAGATGTAAGGTCCCCTGTTTTGAGGACCTGCGTGGTTCTGGTACTGGTTCCGACCGACATTTTCCATTATAAATCGTGTTTCCCATGGACACAGTAGTATTTTTTCTGAGCCTGTGTGACATAGGATGTGACATCTGAAACCACTAGAAGCTGGTATGTCCCTCCTACCATTTCATTCGCTCTTCCGACTGTCCATCAACTCCTGGCTGAACCCTACATCCCAACCACTGACAAAGCGAGATAGCTGCCAAAAGGTTGAACGTACGTATCGTTAAGATCATAAGAAAATCCATACATAAATTGTTAGGATCGTAAGAAAAGCCATGCATGAAACGTAAACGTTAAATTAGATCTGTAAATGTACAAACCCTATGTTACGACTATGAATGGACATTTACATGTTCAATTCTTACTTTACATCTCCCTTTACTCGGTTACAGATCTTTTTAATGCGTACAAACTTTTGTCAGTAATGTGGCATCTGCAAAGGACATGAACCGAACGTAGCTTGTTGAAGTTAGCTAGTCAATCAAGCAACTCTAGCCCAGACATTAGAGTTTCTTTGCAGCTTCCGGTTTCATTTCCAAAATAAATGTCTAGAGCTTGTTTTAGAACTGCATTCAATAATGCCGTTATACCAGTAGATGGTGTAGTATAGGCTTGGGCCTTCAGCAAATGACTTGTGTGAGAATGATAAAGACACAGAAGAGCCTTGTCTAGAATAATTGCCTGAGCTGCAAAATAGAAAGTAAATATGATTTAGGCTAGGCCTATTCCGCTATCTAAATATGCCATGCTGTTGTGTGTTCTTTAATGGTCATATAATTGCATAATTAATTTTTATAGCCGCATGGGGCTACTGTGGTGATCATGGAACCTAATGAATCACACTTTTTCCAGTATTTGGGAGCACGGACTGTAGGCCTTATATTAGGCATTTTGACTGTTGTATTAGTGAATTCCACTCTGTATGTAGGCTTGTTATAGCCATTTGCATTGCACAACCCCATCACACAGAGGCTATATCCATATCAATAAATGAGACAAAGCAAAATATTGATTAAGTCTTGGCTATAACCTGTCCTGAATGAAATAGCCAAGGGGTCCCAAATGGTCAAGACTATCTATAGCCTATTCTTATTGTCAGTATTGTTTTCCCTATCAGCCACTGCACGTGCTTCTTCAACTATTTAGTTTAAAATGTATTTAGAGGCTATATTTAGAGGCCTGTGAGCTAGGGTCTCTTTTTAAGGGGAGCCTTATAATAGAAACAGTTATAAAACCAGGGGTGCAACTTTCACTGGGGATGGGGGGACAAATAGAGGCAACGGTGTGCTTTAAGACCATGCGGACGCCTCCGAGCAGTCAGGTAGGCTGTTTTGGAGTGTTAATCCTAAATAAAAAAAAGTATATATATAAGAGTTCTAAAATTATTCTGCAAGACACCAGTACCCAAAATGATAGCCTAAATTGCAGTGCCTACAAGTTGAAGGCCTATTTTTTATTTGGATAGGCCTAAATTAAACATTGAATTATTAAAGTGATAGGCTAAAGAACATTGGAGAATGTAGATACATTTGTATACACACATGGATTTCAATAAACAAATGGATAAGACTGTTCTATTCTCTTTGATTTAGTTCCTAATACAGCTCAGACAAATTACTGAATGGATGACACATTGACTGACTGAACTGAATGAAGGATGAATTAATTCAAATATGTTGGAATGACGAGTTACACGCTTCATTCATGCTCTGCACTTTATTTGGCTAGTAGGCAAATTGGTCTACATTAGGGTATAATGACTCTATGGCTGCATGCCTCCAGAAGGGCATCTTCGGAGGCTAAGGGGTGCTTTTCCGAAGGCGCATGGTGCTGTGGTGCTACATGGAGATCACAAGCTCTTCAACTGGGCAGCAGTGTCGCGATGGAGGGAATAGCCTATACGGAGACTACCTAAGACCACTCCAATAGAGTTATTGTAAAGTGTGGGAATAAGCTTCTACCAGACTTGGCCTACGTTTAACCTCTCCCTTGTTCATTTCAAAGTCCATATGCTCATGACCCGATTCATATAAATCAAGTCAAATTACTTTAAATTCATATAACCCCTACATAATATTGTTTGGCAAGATTTTGAGTGATGAAATAAATATAAAAATATTTTATAAAAATATATTTTGAGTGGCAAAGACTCCAGCAGTCATACATAATTCATAGATTCACCAAACATCTATTATTATTCTATGTTTCATTATTCCTGGTAGATACTACTACAGCCCAGAGAATGGGATGGTGCAATATTGAATTAGTCATATTTTGATGAGGTGCATGCATGGGGATGTCCATGTCACCCAGAGATATGCCCATGTTGTAGAGATACATCTAAGGGACTGAAACGTCACTGTTGTAGGCATAATACAGCGAGTGCTATCTAGACTTGCAATGGCAAACAAATCCATTACATTAGCTACCTAAATGTGAAGTAAACTCAACTGAGGAGTAATAGAGAATGGAGACTTTTAACTTGAAAATGTGTAGGATACCTCTTTCCGGTTATCCTGACTTCCATTTTTCTTAAACTGTGTTATGCTTGTTCGCGTAGCACTCCTCACAGGCCGTGTATGTTTTTATTTGTTGGTGAGATGAAACTGCCAAAACTCTGAAAGGTATTATTGTACGTCAGAATTGCAACACAAGATTTGTTCAAGCCTAAAATGTTAGTCCGTAATCGTAACATGGTGTTTGTACGTTCACAGATGAAATTTCACGTTTACGTTTTATGTTTCACGCATCGCTTTTCTTATGATCCTAACAATACGTACGTTCAACCTTTTGACAGGTATCTCGCTCCATACACCTGCCTGCAATCATTACATCATAGGGGGGAGTGGTTTAATCATGTTTCAGAGATCGATTTATAGCTATTAATCAAAAATAATTAATAGA